TCAGAGTAAGAGATAGTAAGAATCCATCTCAGTCTTCTGTTTGCACCTTACAGGATGAATAGATGACTAAGATCGAATGTCATGATTTAATGATTCAAGAACAGACGGTTGAGATAAACTATAACTGCATTTTATCTTTTTCTATTTTTCAATAAAAATTAAAAAAGGTAGCGTATGAATATAAAAACATGAATTTGTTTTTTACTTTTCCACATGGATTGAGAGATTGGATCTAATCATACGAAGAAGAAAATGTTTATTTACTAAAAAAGTTGGATTTAACAGAAGAAGCTAGTTACTCATAATATAATATGACAAGCCAAAGTTTGAATCCCCATTTGAGAGATGTATTCGCATTCAACATCTAATGAGTCAACCCCTCAAGCACTATGAATACCATTAAGTCACTTTGTCGTGCCAACAATATCTAATCCAATGGATCATTTAATCTATTGTCAAGAACTACTCAAGCTTTAGTTACTTAAGCACAATAACCTAAATTTGATTTTATGCAAAAATATAGAACATGTCTTTTGGTGAATTAATCCCTATTTAGGATTCAACTTCACTCTCTATTTTAAAAAGTTCAATCACACCTAATAATTCTAACTCTGTGTGTGAGAAATTTTTAATAATCAGTTGTTTCCTAAAAAGGTGATTGTTTTTATTTTACTATGGATAATTAATTTACAAAAGAAGGAATTGATGAATTGAGATGAGGGACAAACCTCCAAAAGACAATAAGCATATAGTGAATTAGATTTGGACCTGAGATGAAGAGAGAAGTCCCACCAAAGGGTGAAAGCTTGCTTCCACATATTGAATATTGATATGATACACATTAAATGCATATATCTCAAACATCTTCATTTAATTCTTGAAATTGACTTCTCCTTCAAGCGGGCCCCTTTTATCTATGATCTTCACCGCGAAACGCCCCTTGGTTTCCTACCACCTAACCCCCTTTTTCCTCCACATCTTCCATCAATCCAAATCTTCCTTCTCATTTTCAGGACTATTTCGTTATATTTCACACGTAAGAATAATTTTTTTTAAAATACAATAAATTTTTACTTTTATTCTTATTTAATATATATATATTTTCTAAAAAATAATCATATATTTTATAATAAATGAAGAGCAAAATAATACATTCATACTAAAAGTTTAATAAAATAACTTATAAATAGAACTAAGAAAAATATAATCTTTCTGTCTTATAAATAGAATTAGAGGAGTATATTGCTACTGTAACTAATTTCTTTATGCTTCTCAAACATAGAAAAGAAATATAGTTTGTAGGATCTGAAATTATGATCAGGTTAGATCAATATTCTTAAAAAATTTTCATTAACAAAATCAGCCTCTAAAATTGTAGTAACTTTAACTAAAATTAAAATTCTTACTATCATCAAACATCATTGTCATATTAACCACACATCATTCTCATTCCAGCATGTTATCTTTAAAAATATTGACCAAATTTGACCATAATTTTAAGCGTTCATTTAAAAAAAAAAAAAGTATAGAGAACTTTGGCTAAAATTGATTACGGTTTGAGGAACACAAATATATGTTTTTTCCCTTAAAAAGTACATAATATTTTTAATACCTGAACCCCATTTTAACATGTAAAGAAACATTAAAAAGGTAAAAACCAAGCTGCAGAGGTCGGGTAAAATATGTGGAGAAAAATTTAAGAATAAAATTTATATACATTTATGTCTCTTGACATTATTTCTAATATGATTATATAAACATATGACTTATCGCAAACCAAGTAGTAGAACAGTTATGAGACATACTTGTGTAGTTGTGTGTATAAAATTTAATGCAAAATACAGATCATATTCTAATTTTTGTCGAAGTTTTTTTTTTCTCTCTTGTAAAGTGACACATTTTGGAAAAGAACACACATATATCAATAATTGAATAATTGTCAATTAATTGGCCTCCTTTACCTTACCATTTTATATGAAAATTGACAAAGTTTGAGTTGCTTTCAGGAACCACAATATAATAACTCCATGCATGTCTTTCCCCCCTTGCTGCTACAGTGGTTTTCATTTTCAAGCCTCCAATTTATACTTTTCCCAGCTTAAATTAAGGAGCTTTTCCAGCTGTTCCCAGGGGTAGATTGCTACATTGCTATTGCAGATTTAAGCATATGTTAAATTTTTCCTCATTACTAGAAACCGTTTTACATACATACATACATATATATATATATATATATATATAATCGAAGATATGTTAAAGTATATACAATCATAAGTACTAAAATTTATTTTTCAAAATAGATTATGAGCTTGTTTCTTGAATGGAATTTGAGGTGATGAGATGATTTGGTAATGATTTACAAATAGTAAAGTATTTATGAATTTTATTTTGTCATATATATTATTAATATCAATATTAATTAATTTTTAATATAATTATCTACTATTCGATAGTATGGAGTCAGATTTAATTAATTATTATCAAGCCTAGAGCAATTTTTTTTTAATTAACTTTTGCTAATAGGAATAAAATCTATTCTCTCCAACTCAATTATCTTGGCCGATTCTTCAAATAACACATGAAAATATGCCGTCCATAAAGTTATGTTGAATTGTTGGTAAGTATCACGTTGCATAAATATGAAGAATAAAAATACTGTGAAAAAAATCATTGGGAAATTATTATTATTAAGAATTTTGTACTTTTTTGTGTGTATATGTATCCTGCGGTAAACGAATATAACACAGAGTTAAAGTGTGTTTTTGGTCGGAAAATATTTTCAAATAATTAAGTTACACATATTCAAGTTAACACAAGTGATGATAAATTCTCATCATTTAAACAAGTATTTGGAGGTTCTCATAATCACATCTTTGTATACTTTCTTCTGTGTAATTTAAGGTATTCTCAAATCATTTTAAATTTGATACTAATTTCTATTAGGCCGAGAATATTTAAAATTGAAACTTTTTCAACAAGTAGGCTTCCTAATATTCGAAATTGTGTATGACATTGATTGTGAGTTGATCTATCTTTTATCTTTATTGGTATCACTGGGAAGGTAAACAAAGCTTTTTCAGAGTGACTATATAGTTTCTTCGAAAATACTTTAAAGATAAAAATACCCTCCAAAAATATATATGTGTGTGTTTAAGAAAATAGGTTGAATTGTCGGTGTCCTCACTTTGAACAAAATGGGCAAAGAAGAGTCATAAAGTTTGAAGTTTGGAGAGTGTTCTTTTATATTTCTATTTTAGGAAATGAATGAAGAAAACCAGACATGGAATTCCAAACATTTCTAACTTTACGGTGCCTTGAATTTTCCCTTTGATATTTCTGAGGCTTCATTTTCACGCATGCTCCTTTATGTCTGCCTGCACTATCAATCATTTTTTCTCACGTACAAGATTCATTCTTCTCTTTACCATAATCAAAATTGGCAAGATTTATATTAATTCCCATCATATATAATCTATATATCTATTTTTTTTTCCCATACGGTCATTTAACTAAGTCATATTTAAGCATTCCTCAGCTTGATTAAAGTAATTCTTCCAAAGATGTTTTATGCACTCATATGAGCTCAAGCCCAACACCTCGTGTTTAAGTGGTCAAAACTTCTTTTCTACTATTACTTCCGGTTATAATTATAAAACCTCGTTTGTTTTGTAATTAGGACCGGAGGCAGTATGCCAGTATTATAAGTCTAACTATTCAATAAGAGTAGGATAAAAGGGGATTCTGCATATTTTGATATTTGAGATGGCTCAACCTCTATTGACAAATCCTTTTCATGAGCTAGTGATGATTGAATTCATGTTCTCTTCTTCTTCAACAAATGCCCCTTTCATTCTTCCCCTCCACACATCCTCCCTCTAATCATAAATTCTCCTACCCAATATTAGCTTTTTGTAACCCCACTTCTTAACTATATCTCTCCCTCTAAATTCCACTTACTAATCTCTAATTAAATTAAACCTACTGTTTTATCATCTACTTTTCAAAATCACGAATTCACTTCACCATAAACTACCAGTTTAGGATGTGAATTGGAAGTGCCTAAATCTCCTACACTGTTTTTTCTGTGCAATTATTCAAGTGAGATTTACTAAGAAAAAGATAAATCTGCTGAAATTAATGCGCACACATTATAAAAATGTTAATTTTTTACAACCGCAATTAAGTACTATCAATGAACATAATCCATGTGTTTGATTGTCAACGTTGAGTTTAGAACTGTTGGTGACTGTATATACTCGATTTCAATAACAAAAGTAGTTAGTTTAAAAATTTTCATACAAAAAGGTAAGATCTAACAAAGCCTTAAACAGGTGTATGTGCTTAATCAAACGAAAAAAAAACATTTTTTGATGCAATTTTAATTAATTTTTCAATGGCTTCTTTCATTCGTTTTAGGAGATAGTATCTATCCCTGAATCAAAAGATGTACGTCTGTCCAACTTGCTTGTACTCTTGGAATTTGGATGATCTTTTTCTTGTTTCTTATTGGTATTACGATAAGGTAATCAAAAAGGCACTATTTTTGGTGTTTAAAGCCAAAGTGTTCTTAAAGTACATGACTTTATTCCATACCCTTCCTCTGTTTCCTATTCTCAGGTCAAAGAGCAACACAATCTTCTGTAACATCATGTGATTTAATGTTGTTTAACTTGATCTGCAGCAAATCTTAGATTACTGAAGAGAAATGTACTTAGGATTCCATAATTAAAAAGGTTGGAATACTTAGGTTGCTTCTTAGGACGTTGAAATTACGACTGCAACCATGCATAGAACAATTACACCTGATCATTAGGCCTACGAAATCCTAAGAATCACAACAACATCCTACAAAGAAAAATCAGAATCATGGCTGCAATTCCAGTGATCATTATTAGACCATGATCAGTTGTTGTCGGGCTTCAATCCTCAGATCCTCCCTCATCCTTCTAATGAAGTCATCGAACTTCTTGTTCAATTCCTCTGTACTTAACCGACCGTTCTCTTCTTCTTCTTCATATTCAATTTCTTCCTGTTCCAAGTCTTCTTGAATCAGAAAATCATCACGTTCTGCACCTTCTTCAACCCCTGCATCCAACATTCCAGTTTCTTCATCTTCCAGAATCAAATGAGACGTTCTTAGCTCTTCTTCTTCTTGGTCCACCTCATCTTCTACAGTAACCTTCTCTATGTCTTCGTTTCCTTCATCAGAGAACTTGATTTCAACTGCTTCATCTGCAGGAATGTTCTGTTCATCAGGTTGTCTGCTTCTCTCCTGATCAGCTTCAATCACCAACAATGGCTCTGTGTCCTCAATATCTGAGAATTCAGACGCCGAACCATCATCAACATACTTAGAAGAAGAAGAAGAAGAAGAACCATCTTCTTCCTCACGAGGATCATCGCTACCACTAGACCCAGAGAAAGCTCTGGTGATACCCACAAAAACAAGAAGGCCATTACAGAGGAGGAACATGCAGTTCTTATCAATGGTGTGGGTGAAGAGCTGAAGAGGGAAGGTGGAGAAATAGAAGTTAAGGTAATGAAGCAAGGCGAACAAGGATGATGGAGAGAAGAGGAAAGAACAGAGAGACACAGAAACTAAGAACTGGGTAAGCTTCACAAGATACTGAGCTTTGAAGCTCTGGTAATTCAGAGACTCTAAGCTTAAAGACCTTACTTGATCCATAGTTTCAGAAAACGAAAACGAAACTAAGGATGGTGTCTGAAAGGAGATAGCTCTCAAAAGAGGAGGCTCGGTGTGTACAGGCCATGAAGGGCTCCTTATATACACACAAGCGCGCACACACGGGTGAGGATATCTACTTGGGGTGTTTTTTGTCATTTCCGGAAATACCCATGCTTGGCGAATTATTATAGGGCAAAATTTAACATTTTGTGTTGTCTTGAGGCAGCTCACGTGTTCTTGAATAGACATTCTAGGTCTATCAAATATTGGTACCACTAGGCTCATGATCATTTAAAAGTTTCTCTAGTGATCCAAGCCAACATTTGATTTGTAATCTAGTGATTATTATTAATTAGTTTTTTATATATATAAACACAGAATCCCTTGTTCCATATAATTATGTTTGAAACATTGTTAGATTTTAAATGTGAGTATTTCTCTTAGAGATTATTAGAAATTTGTAGTTGTTATGAATCAATAAAAGGTTAAAACGTAAATTTATCTCTGAAAATTTTGACTTAGAAATACTAAGCACCTGAAAGCTTTTTTTTTTTTTGGGTACAAATTTACGTTAAAAGTTTAAAATCATAACAATATTACTTATTATTGTTAAAATACTAACATTGGCTATTAATGTTTTTAATAGCAGAAGGTAATATTACTATGATTTTAAACTTTTGGACCCTCAATGCTTCTGAGTAAAAATTTTCAAAACAACAAATTTGTACCTTAACACATCAATAAACTTATATACTTCAAAGGTTATCCAAACATGATCCACTCAGGAAAAAAAGATTTCCCCTTTAAGGAGAGATTGTAATAAATGAAGAATGACACAAGACGGGAGGGGCAGTGTACAGTATTATTGAACATAGTATTTGCCACAAAACACAACATGTATAAGACCACATAACAAAAGCATCTTCATGTTGTGTTCAAATATATAAGAGAGGTCGACTTGTCTAGTAACATTCATGTGAAGGTTGGTCCCAATCTCCAACCAAATTGTGGTTCACATAATAGATAGAAATGTGAGTAAGTGAACCACCTTCAAACTCACCCACACATTATTAGTCTCTTATTTACATCATAGTTCAATGCACAAGTCATTGTTATCTGTGACTCTACATAAACTATTGCTTTTACCTTCTTTTTTTTCGGTGATTGACTGATTTCACAATCTGTTTTTATTATTTCTTTCTTTGATGTTTAGATTTTACTATCTCATGTACTTAATATAAAATATAAAAGTTAGATAACTAATTTGAAGAGATCAAAAAGATTAGTTAAATTAGTTGTTTGTAATAAATATGTATTAATTTTTTAAACTACCCTCTGTCCTTAAGTAGATTAAAGATGTTAGTTAAATTAGTTATCATGATATGTTTTTTCTAAAATATTCTAAGCGTCTTCATTAATTTCCTCTCTCCGTCTCATACTTAATTATTATTGAAAAAATATTAATAGAGTTAATTTGAAAAAAAATTGTTAAAAATATAAAATAGACCTTACATATAATACTAATATTAACTCTTCAGTTATGTCCTATATTAAGGATAGGTGAAGTACCATATTTAATCATGTGTATTGGAACTATTCTTTGGTAAGAACTCCTTATAATTAATAGGAATATTTTTTAAAAAATTATAATTTAAAAGATAAAATGGAGATCATATATTTAGAATTAAATTTGATGGAACTCCCAACGTCTTACATTGATGATAGATAGAGGTACTAAGTCAATAATGCTGATACTGAGAATTAATGACAGGGCTTTTTTTTTGGGGGGGGGGGGTCCCATATATCTTAATTTAGCTCTTTTGGCCATATATCTTAATTTAGCTTGGTGACCAATACCTTCAGCATTTAACTTTAAATAAAACACCTATAAAATTTTTTTGACTTATAATTTCTTTTTTTTTTCATTTTTATAATTTAAAAATCGTAGGATATTGTCTTTAACGAAATATAGCTAACCTAGATACCATCTCTTGTTATTGTTACTATTCTGGATATCAGTGTATCAAATTCAAATATAGAGATATCGAATATCTCTTAATGCATTATGTGTTCATTACGAAGCCGGGGGGGGGGGGAAAGTCTTGATTATAAGTCACTAGGTGGGTAATAATTACATTTTATTTAAAATTTCATTAATCACAATTTTTATAATTTTTTTGAGCATAATTTATGATAGTATCTCAATCTTTAATATAAAAGCTCGTTTGATTTTTATTTTGGTTCTAAATATAAGACCCTAATCTAATTTGTCTCTCATATTTATCTTTTTTTTTTTTTCAAGATAGTCATTGTAATAATAGTAGTTCTAATCAATACAATTGATTAGTAATGATATTTTAGGAAAGAAAATATTTATTTATTACAAATAACTAACTTAAATAATTTTTTCAATCTATTCGAATTAGTCAACTAGTTCTTATATTAAGGACTAGAGATAGTATTAGATATGGATAAATTTAAAAAGTTTTGGCAAGTATGCTTTATAATAATACTGCCAAGAAACAAAAGGAGTACCGACACAGATTAAGAACTCATTCAATACTCTAACTAACTAAAACATTATTTTTAATTTCTTTAATAAAACAAATCAGAAATGATGTGTGTCAAAATCAGAATGAAGGCACACATATGAAATTAATGAGGGAAGTACACACCCGAAAACCCATGCAATTGGCACAAGTCTATTTCAACAAAGAAGCTTTGTGTAATTAGAGCCATAAGTTAATTAGATTTAATTATTGCTACTTAATGTGGAACCAGAAACTATGTCATCAAAAACTATACATATATCCTCAACTTGTTTACATTAATTACATGATTATCTCCGCATTAAATATTGGTATCATTAACATGCCCTGCCTTGATTCGTAAGCAACCTTTCTGTATCACATATAGCAAACATCATATGGCTGTTATTATTTAATTTATCGTTACCTGTAACCCTTCCTATTGGACACTTACAACACCATTCGAGCCACAAATATGTGCTTTTGTTCGTGATGAATTATCTTCCACGAAGGTGCAGAACTCACCAGAACAATACTTCTTTCGATTTTGATCCTATATGTAAAATCTTAATTTATTTTGTCTATCATATTTATCATTTTCCTTCTCAAACTAGCTAATTTATCTGATTTGTAAATTTATATATAATATATAATGTTATATAAAAATATTTTAGACAAACAATGTTATCTTTATTATAATCAACTTATTTATTTGACTAATTATTTAATTTATCCAAATTAATTAATTAACTCTTACAATAAAGGATCAAAGAGAATATTAATTACAACAATAATAAGTTGAAACGAAATGAGAAGAATTATTCCATAACATTCACATACTGTCCAGTTTGAGCAGTGTTGTGTATAGTGGGGAAAACTACGTAAAAAATAAAATGTATTACCTCCGCTTAGTATGCTATGCGATGATGGTTAAATATGAATTAGTCATAAATATTGCGATTATATTCACAAAAAATGTAATATATATATATATTTTTTTATTAAAAATATAACTTATTATAAAAAAATATTTATAAAAATATCGTATTAAATTCAAGCATCATTGGCCTTAACTTAATGTAGCTTTGTTAACTCAATTGATTTTCTATCCACAAGATTTGAATTATTAATTTTACTTAAAAGACAGATCGAGTCTTGTCCACCCAGCCATAAACCCAAAATTTGCAAGGACTACATGTATACACGCGCATATATTCTGTGGAGTATAAACGTAGTGTTATCAAATGATTAGCATCATTGAAACTATTTGGCTTAACTAATACTACATTCCTTTCTTTATGTAAGAGCTAGTTTAACATTTAATTTAGTCATAAATATAAGACCGGTCTCAATTTACTTTGTCTTTTATATTTATCCATTTTCTCCAAGATAACTCTTATAATAGTTACGTGTTAAAAAAGTATTTTAGGGAAGATAACGTCTATTCATTACAAATAACTAACTTAACTAATTTACTCAGTTTATTCAAATTAGTCAACTAACTTTTATACTACCTCCGGTCCTAATTATAAGAACTAGTTTACTAATTTGAGGAAATTAAGGAAAAAAGTAAAATTAGTTATTTATAATAAATATGTGTTATCTTTCCTAAAATATCCTTGCTAATCAAATGTATTGACTAGAACTATAATTGTTAGAAGGATTACCTTAGGAAAAAAATACATAAATATAAGAGAAAAAGTGGATTGGAGTCTTATATTTAAAACCAAAATAAAAGTCAAATAAAATCTTATATTAAGAACCGAAGGTAGCATTAAAAACCGAAATAGTACATGACACCTTAAATTTTAGTTAAATACGAAGTTATGTGTTTTGACTATTCATGAGTGCGATGAGTGCATGTGATTTTTTTTTTTGTCTTTGTAAAAGATGACAAAAACAAATCAAATATTGGGCATCATATTGATATGCATTATACTACACGTAATATGTGGGATAACGTAGAATATTGCTTTTTAAGAATTAGGGAATGATTTACTTTAAAAATAAGAGTAATATGAATAATAATATATAGTATATTGAGGAAGAAGAAAACAGGCCACAGGAATTAGCAAGTCGACGTGGTGGTGGATGGCCTTTGGCATTTGGAACGACCAGCTCACATTGTTGGCCAATTATTGCTTCAATCATTGCTTTTAACCAATTATGCATATTCATCATTCTTTCTTCTTCTATTCTTAACGTGCATGTACCTTCAACCTCAATCATTTTGATTATTTTCATTATAATAGGTACCTTCAACATTAATATTCTCCCAATATTTAAAAATTATAACAAGGTTTGATTTTTCAGTTATCCTTGTATTATTCTATTGGATTTGCACATACAAAAAATAAGCATAATCCATCTTCTTCTTAAAATATCTCATTCACTCTAATAAAAAATAGATAGCCCTTCACAATGTGACAAACCAAAGTTTGAATCTCCGTTAAAAGATGTGTTCACATTTAGTACTCGATAGTACTTTGAATAGTATTATCTCCAATAAGAGGATACATATTCACAGCAAAAATTTTTTTTCTTATTCGCCAGAAAAATAAACTTTCATTTAAATTAATATATATTGATTTCATTAAAAACAGGTGAAGTAATAATAAATGAAAAAAGAAAAATGTAATTTATAGGCTCCCTATGATTAGGCGGATTCGCACCTGAGGCCCAAATAAAGCCCATTATTCTAATAGGGACCAAATAGCTGGACTGAACGGCCCAATCAGGCAGCGCTAACAGCCGAACAGCGGTTTTCTTTATTCCCATTCCGGAACTAGCCAAACCGCCTCCAAACATGCCCTAAGCCGTTCGCGTCGTCCCCAAGGCCCAAACGCGGCTTGATTCGTTCCTCTGCAAAACCCTACCAGAAACCCCAGCCCTTGTTGTCGCAGATCAAACAGAGACCGCGACATGTCTTTGAGGGTTCTCGGATCGCGTGCCATTCCCTTCCTATCGAAGCGCAATGGGCGACTTCTATGCTCCGTCGCTGCTTCCAGTGCTCCCAAGGAGCCGCTCTCTTCCGCCTCCCCAGAATCCGATGTGAGTTCAAAAAAGCAAGGTTGGAGTTTCCTCAAGGTCGCCCTCGCTAGTACGCTCACTGGAGCCACCGCTGCAGCTGGTTACGCTACATATGGTTCGATTTTTTCTCCTTTTGTGATCATTATACTTGTCATTTTGGTATTGCTGGTGTCATTGGATGCGTCTCGGTCATCTTGGGGTCTAGTTTTTTGTTTGGGAAATGTAAATGTTATCGGTCTTTAATTCGGTTTTGTATGGTATGCTTTAGCGTTGCTGTTTGATATAAGCGTGATCGCTGTGTTCTTAGCATCGTTATACTGCCAGTTGCCATCTCATGTCTGCCAGACTGAAAACTGTAAAGCCTTGGAATTTTGCAGCTTACAGTTTGGATGAAATTGAAGAAAAAACGAAGTCTCTACGCGAATCAGTGAAGTACAATGCAGGCGAAAATGCCACTGCCCTCGATGTGAGTTTTCCTGAATGTGTCTTGACATTCTGTCGAATTTGCTTGTTCTATGACTTCATCTTCTCCCCTTTTTAGCATGGATTATGGGATTAGTTCGTAATATTCATCCAAATATATGGATGTTTCAATGCTTGAATAAGTTTTGCGGACCGTTAGCTGTGAGCAGAAGGGAAATTCCGGGGAACCAATGATTTTAATTGGAGATCACCTTTTGTACATATGCTTATTTTTGGCCCATTTAATCTGTATTTGTTTTTCTTACACGGTACTTATTCTATTTACTAGACTTATATTTTATCAATAAGGATTCAGTAACGCCAGATAGAGGTTTCTGTTATGCTTCTACTCGTGAGTTGTGAGTGCGTTTGGTTGACTGCAATCTGAGTTTATTGGTAAAGCTATATTAGAAGGTACCGGGCTAAATTTAGAATAATGGAGGAACCATATAGTCAGTTCTATTCATAAGGATTTCAGCCTCAAAACTCCTAATTGATCAGTTCTAACTGTTACTCTTGATTTGAAATAGCTAGACTGTTTTATTCTATGCTTCTCTGCTCATTGAGTATGAGGACTTTTAGTAATTTCTCCAGATTATCTATTTTCTTAATGCTTTTAGGTAGGAACACTCGTATCTTTATTCTTGAGTGCCTTCACTTTTGTGAAGTTGCTTGTTTTGATGTGATACGTACCATTATTTATTCAGCCTCCTCCATATTTGTTTCCGTGCACCATAATTTAGTCAGTTGACATGTGCTGGTCCAAATTTTGTGCAGAAATTTCAGCAATTGCTATATTCAACTGCAATGACAGGTAAATTCAGATAAGCTTATAGAGTTATATGTGTAGTTAGTATTGACAGCATGCTGGTTCTTTTTTCTGTAACATCTCAGTGCCTGCTAAAGCAGTAGAACTCTACTTGGATGCACGAAGGCTTATAGAGGAACAGGTTCAGGTAAGTGCCTATCTTTCCTCTGATTTTCTATTTGATCATTCATATTACTGCTAATTTTTTCCCTTCATTTGTTTTAATATCTTGCCCTTGCTGCATTTTAGAGTTATACAGAACCATACTCAGATAAGCTTCTTCCAGATTTGCTTCCTCAGGAGCAACACGTGTTTACACTCGTTCTTGATCTCAACGAAACTCTAATTCACTATATCTGGACGGTATGGCATGGACTGTTGATAGCTATATGCCTAAGTCAATAAATCTTATATACTGGCGATGCGATATTTTTAATGCCAGAATTTTTTTAAGCAATAAAAGTTCTTGACCTCTTATTGTCATGATACTGCTGCATATTTATCAAAAGTGCTTTAGGTCAATATTGAGCATTGTGTTTATTTTTCCTTGTCCTGTAAAGAGGGATACAGGCTGGCAGACTTTCAAACGACCTGGAGTTGATGCGTTCTTGGAGCATCTAGCACAGTTTTATGAAATTGTTGTGTATACTGATGAACAAAATATGGTACTCCTTTTTTATAATTGTTCCCCATTCTCAATGGATGCTTATCATCATTTCTTGAGTATATACACTCTTGTTTTTCGCAGTTTGTAGACCCTGTTCTTGATAGGCTGGATACCAAGCACTGCATAAGATACAGGCTATCAAGGCCAGCTACCAAGTATCAGGATGGAAAGCATTATAGAGTATGTTTGTATTATTCCCTATTCAGTTTTATATTTTTTCGTCATTCTGGATGCTCTTAGGTCAGTCGATTTAGGAATCTTCAATGTTACAGAGCCTGAGCCTTAAATTTTGTATCTACGTTGTGAGGAAGTGGTAGCTTTCTCAGGTTCAAGCCCGATCGATTCTTGTTCTTATATGGTCTAGTTTCTGGGTCAGTTACCCTTTTTTCCGAAGTACATGCCCGCTAACTCTTATGTAGGTGTGACCTGTATTGTTCATAGCGTCAATTAAAAGTTTGAACATTTGGTGCTTAGCTTGATGTGCTTTATCATATTGATTACAAGTATGTTACATAGAATTCTATTACAGAAGGAAACTTTCCATCATTTGTCGCAGTGAAGAACTGAATTATTTCATTGATACTAGATCCAGTTAATTGAATTTATTGCGTTATTAGATAATGCAGATGCAATGTAAATGTAGTTCATTGAAAAGGAAATTTTGGTGCTATTAACCTGTATTACATTGTTTGGCACGTTGAAGCACAGGGAAGGCCAGTATAAGACGATGTTTTGAGTTTATAGACACTTGTATTGACTAGAAGTATCATGCTATGAGTTGGAATTGGACTGTGTCTTATTTTTTTCCCCTCTTGCCCGGCAGGACCTGTCAAAGCTAAACAGGGATCCAAGAAAAGTTCTTTATTTGAGCGGCCATGCTTTGGAAAGTTGCCTTCAACATGAGAATTGCGTCCCTGTTAAGCCCTGGCAGCAGAATGATAAAGAAGACACGGCTCTTTTGGATTTCATACCATTCCTTGAGTGTAAGGACCTTCATAATATGTGTTAATGAAAACATGTTTGAAGTTATTGTTGACTTCCTATACTGGAGAAAATTGCATTATGCTCTACATTATCATTTGCAGTTGTTGCCCGGAGCAGTCCGGCTGATATAAGGCCAGTGTTAGCGTCTTACCAAGGATGTGATATCCCAACTGAATTCATTAGACGGTCCAAAGAGCATCAAAGGTAACATTTCAAGATGTCTTCAACCTTTGCAGGGCTTTGAAGCCAAAACATTATTTATTGTTCACGCTTGTTTGTTCTTTAGCTTTTTTTAAGCTCATAAGACGGATTATTTTTGCCCTTTCCTCCTTTGTTTCATTTGATGATGTTGCTTGTTGCCTCTTCAATATACCACGTAGTCCTCCTTGTTCAGGAATTTTTTTTTTGTTGGGGGTTGGGGGTTTTTTTTTTTTTTTTTGGGCGGGGGGCGGGGGAGGATTTTCTGTGAGTTGGTGGTTATTCTAGTAACGTTTTTTTTTTCCTTTTCTTTTTTGTTGATTTGCTCATCCAAATGATGCAGGAGAATCCAAGGACAGAAGCGTGGTTTTTGGAAACATTGATACCAACAACACGAAAGCGGATAATTTGTACTGGGAAAATGAGGAGACTACGCTGATGGTTTCATCGCAAACTTATTCACCAAGGATCTTGAAGTGATTGTCATTATTTTAACGTTCAAGGAATAGAGAAATATAGATTGTTTTCCTCGAGTCTGGAATAATCCATTTTTGACACTACTAACCATGTTGCTGAAAAAGCACCTATTATTGATGACAGGTTTTGGATCACCCATTTATCAACTTCCATCTCCTTATTTACAGCTCTACAGCTCAAAGTCAGATCTAGTTTGACTTCAGCTCTCAGGCACGTTTTGCAAATGATAGAGATTGGTAATTCAATTCATTTATAAATAAACATGTGAATAAGAGAACTTCCAGTGGTATTTACCTCTTAGACGTGCCTATAAAACGGCTCCAACTTCGTCGGGTGCTTGACTATTTGATTTTCCATAAAGCATACCTGACTAAATTTCAAGTCACACAAGTATATCTTATAATTGGTCGAGCTACAATAATATAAGAATCCTATAAAGGTGGTTGGTTGTACACATGATCTTGACTAAATTTCAAGTCACGCACGCGACCACCTACGAGTCCAACAACCAGGGGATGGCAGAATTCAGCAGCACTGCATAATTTTTTGCGGGGACATATTCATACTTTTATATATACAAATGTATTATTGCCTGGTGTTCAAGAGCAAGTTTTTCACGTTTTTGTTTCACAAAAAAAAAAAAAAAAGGTTTTGATGTATAATTTCTGCTTGTCGAAGAGGCTCTCTCTTTTTTCTTTTTTCTTTTTTTAAACTTCAAGGAGTTTTTGTTCTCTCAACTCAAATTAAAACCAAAGGCTTGCATGTTACTTTTAGTCAAGTTTAATTTAATTGCTTAATTTTAGTATTACTTTCTAATATCTAGCATTACTTCCCATTTATATGCATGGCAAAGTAATGTTAGAATTTTTTTTTTCATATCAAGAAAATCTGAAACTTGTGACATTCACTTGCACTCTACCTCGCCTCCACGGTAATTTAGTTAATTGGGACAAACATGTAATTACATTGGATGGGGAATGGCATATTGAATCCTAAAAACTTCTAATTGCATCTCTTGTGGAACTCGGGGAGTGTCTCTTTCCAAATTAATGGAAGCGTGTTGGCTTTTGCGTATGCTTCTTAATCAATTGAGTCATCATCAACACATCAAAATATCTCCTCATCCCACGAACCGCAGTCCTACCGCAAATGCTCCATCAAGCCAATCCAATCTTGTAGTCAAGAATCCCATTGATAAGTAGTGCATAAATGTCTATACCTCTACGTAATCGGAGAAAATTCATACTACCTTCTGGTACTTAATATAAAAGTTAATTGATTAATTTTAAAAAAATTAAAAAAATTAGTTAAGTTAGTTATTTATAATAAATAGGTGTTGTCTTTTGTAGAATACTCTTACTAATCATTTGTATTAGTTAGAACCAACATTTGATAAAATTTACCATGTATAAAGACTATCTTAAAAAAATAAATAAATATGAGAGACGGATTTGATTGAGGTTTTATATTTAAGATCAAATTAAATGTTACACTAACTCTTATATTAAGAATTGGATGTGATATTATTTGTAAATCATAGACAATGTCAACTCACTTTAAATTTCATAATACTTAAGCATGTGATTTTCAATTAAAAAAAAAGGGTGTTTGGTTTGTCCAGGAAACACTTCTAAAATGTGTTTTTATGCAAGTTGGGACAATTTCTACCATATATTTATTTTATATGTCGTAAAATTATTTTTTAAGTTATAATTTGATTTTCATTCAAATACTTCTTCAATAATCTTATAATCTAATAATATGAAAAAAATTTCTTGATAAAGGATTGTAAGTTTGATCTCAGTCTCACTGGTAAAAAAAAGCAAGTAGTTCCCCTTAATGCGAGGCATGATATAACATCACGATACGTGTGTTTTTCCCTTTCCCTGCTAGATATAATATTATTATTATAAGACCCAATTTGACTTATAAAAGACCCAATCTATTTGTCTCTTATATTTATATTTTTTCCAAGATAATCCTTCTAAAATGATAGTTTTAGCCAATATACTTAATTAGCAAGGATATTTTAGGAATGACAACACTTATTTATTATAAATAACTAACTTAACTTACTTCAATAAATAAGTCGGTCAGGACGGAGAGTATTCAATTGATATTATTTGGCATTACAATCAAAAAAACAGACTTGATAATTGATTGCTCAAACCGCGTGAAGCCCGTCCTGCACTAGTCGTAAGTCACGCCGCTCATCTATTCAAATTATAATACTGCCTAATTCTAAATGTAAAAATTAATTTACTAATTTAAATAGATTAAACAAATAAATTAAATTAGTTATTTATAATAAATAGGTATTATTTTTTTAAAAATATTTTCACTAATTAAGTATATTGATTAGAATTATTATTATTAAATAGATTATTTTACAAATATATATAAATATAAAAAATAAAATAAATTAGAATCTTATATTTAGAATTAAAATAAAAATCAAATAAAATGTTATATTAAGAATTAAAGCTACTATTGACTTCTTTTCATTTTTGTCCATAACAACTCCGTCCTGTGCTCGATGCTATCTCATACTACTTCCGGTTTTTAATATAAGATTCTGTTTGACTTTTATTTTGGTTCTAAATATAAAATCCTGATGCATTTTGTCTCTCATATTTATGTATTTTTTTCAAGATAGTCCTTTTAATAATTATAGTTCTAACTAATATAATTGATTAGTAAGGATATTTTAGGAAAGACAACGCCTATTTATTACAAATAACTAATTTAACTTCTTTTCTTAATCTCTTCAAATTAGTCAACTAAGTTTTATAATTAGAATCGGAAGTATTATTATATTTATTCCCTGCATGAGCCCCCAAAATTAACTTCAGCAACAATTCGTTTGCCGTATATGGAACGCTTTGTGTGTTTTTACTTTTTAGTTCATTTACATTCGATTCCAAGGACCACAACCCAGAAAAAAGATCAACAAGCTATTTCGATCGGTTTTTGACGGGTTCAACAACCCGGCGTTGGGGGTAGTTGGATGGATTCATTGGACCCACCTTATCTGAAATTTCATCTCTGTAATAGCTTTTGTAGTACACATCAATTTCCCAGTCTTCAATATCGTCTTCCTCGCAGTACACTCTCTCTCTTGCCCTTTTCATCTCTGCGGTACAAGTTTCTACCTGCCAGCATTTCACGAGCCTCCAAAACCCCTTGACCCAGATTTTCATATAAATTATCTAAGTCGTCAATCAAAATGTTATCTTTGTCTCTGCTATTGCAATTTCCTTCGGTTTTTCCCAGCAATGTCTCGCTTTCTCCACTTCTTGCTCTTCTCTCTGTTCTTCCTTCTTCTGGTGCTCTCTGTTTCCGCCCACAGCGGCCACCAGGACGACGACGGCGGTGGAGCTGATGATGATGCCCGGGGATCCGAAGAAGACCATCATGACCTGCGATCAGGACCCTTGATTCTGGCTAAAATTTGGTGTTTGATTATAGTATTCTTTGCCACGTTCATCGCTGGGGTTTCACCGTACGTGTGGAAATGGAACGAGGGGTTCTTGGTTTTGGGGACTCAGTTTGCGGGCGGTGTGTTTCTTGGTACTGCAATGATGCATTTTCTGAGCGACGCCAACGAGACGTTCGAGGATTTGACTAACAAAGAGTATCCCTTCGCCTTCATGTTGGCTTGTGCGGGTTACTTAATTACTATGATGGCTGATTGTGTGATTGCCTCCATCTTTGCGAAGCAGAGCAGTGATATGAACGGTGTTGGGGCTGATGTTGAGCTTCGAGGTTGGTTATTTACTGTTTCATACTATTAATTGTTCGTCACTGGTGGGTTTTATGCTGTTTGGCTGCTGAGAAAACTGGAATTTTCTTCCAAAGTTTGATTTACTTTAATCGTTCATGGTCTTTGGCCAATGAACTGTTATTATATAACTAGTTTGAGTTTTGAACACTTTAGAAGACTGCAATTTTGCTTGAAATCTTGAAAATGTTTGCGAGACATTCAAGATTTTGTGGTTGTATAAATAGAGCACTGTTTTGGATGAAACTATGAATACCTGTTACTGAGTTTAATGTTTTGGATACATATGTTAATTTGGTGGCTTTATTTTGAATATGTCCCCGTGATTCCGCCTTCTTTTGTTGCTTTGATTGTTTGCCCACACTTTGTGTTTTGATGCAATTTCACTTTCTTCTTCTTCTTCTTCTGTTATGACAACTGATTGATTTTTACAATTTAACATCCTAGACTGGATCTTTTAAATCAGAGAATTGTATCATTTGTAATGGAACAAGACAACTATTCAAGAAGTCTTAATTTGAAACTCTGTAACATCCTTTATTTCCTCCTTTTCTTTTCACATATCCTAACTTTCTTTCTGGTCACAGGGGCTGAGGCAGGCAAAGGAAGCAGCAATGGTCTAACTTCACAGTCACAACACCAGGTTAGAAATATACCAATGAAATGTTTGCTCAGCAGAATCATTCTTGCTTCAAGGCTAAACCTTTTATAAAACAAGGCATGATAAAAAATACTCCAAAACCAAATCATATCCTTTTGTAAAACAATGTCAAAAGTTTTTCTACTTTTGATGTACTAAACTACGCTAGTGGAGAGAAATAATTACTGTTGCTTGCTGGACTCTCTTACCTTCTAAATTTTCTATTCTAACAAGGTGTGAAGCTTGCAAAAATAGTTCAACTTCAACAAGAATTTGCTTATTTCATTTAGGCCTTTTCATCATCTTGCACCTAACAGTAGGTTCTTCTTCTTCTGCTGCTGCTGTGCCAACAGGTCCACCATGCCCACAACCTTGCAAACCCTGCTCTGACATCTGCCAGTTCACTTGGAGACACCCTATTGCTGATAATTGCGCTGTGTTTTCATTCTGTATTTGAGGGCATAGCCATTGGAGTTGCAGAGACAAAAGGTGATGCATGGAAAGCTCTATGGACAATCTCTCTTCACAAGCTATTTGCAGCCATAGCTATGGGCATAGCTCTCCTCAGGATGATGCCAAATCGTCCCTTGCTATCCTGCGCGGCTTATGCCTTCGCCTTCGCCATCTCCAGCCCGATTGGCGTCGCCATCGGAATCGTAATCGATGCCACAACTCAAGGCCCTGTCGCTGACTGGATTTTTGCCATATCAATGGGTCTGGCTTGTGGGGTGTTCATTTATGTATCAATAAACCATCTGTTGGCAAAGGGATACATACCTCAAAACCCTACCAAGGCTGACACACCAACATTGAAGTTTCTTGCAGTTTCGTTGGGCATTGCAGTTATAGCAGTTGTGATGATCTGGGACACCTGACAAAGTCATTCTAAAGCAATAAGCTCTGTTTTTCCCCCCTCCCTGGGCTGTGAGCATAGTTAGAACTTAGAAGTTGAAATTTCTGTATGCTGGAAGTAGTGTGAAGTTGTAGAAACATTCTTACACCCAAGCTTTTATATGGTTTGTCTATAATTTAGGGGCGTCTGGATGAATGAAAAAGAACTTTTAATTATGTAAAGTGAGACAAAATCTTTTTTTGTATACTATAAAATTACTTTTAAAATTATGGTTTGGTTTTTACTTAAACACTTCTTTGATGCTATTTAGGAGGTGTTTGGCAAAGGTGCTTTTGAAAAGTATTTTTTCGCAAATCAAAATAAACTCTTACATATATTTATTTCATATGCTGTCTGTAAAATTACTTTTAAAACTAAGGTTTGATTTTCATTTAAACACCTTTTTAATCTTAAGTTATGCAAGCACGTACTAATTGGAATAAATAATTGTGCCAATGGAGCTTGAAAAAGAAAAAATAATTGCAAAAAATGAAAACATCGTCATTATTTTTTGGAAAAATAATAAAAAAGAAGTTAAAAATTACTAAATACTAAATAAGAAATGGCAACAAAAATTTATTGACATTTACAAATTCAATGTTCTCAATACAAAATAAAGAGTTGTTGCTAAGCCTAATTTAGGATTTAATAATTTTTAGCTTCTTTTGTTTTTATCATTTTCCCTTTAAAGATAAAAAAAAGTAATTATTTTTTTTACAGATGTTTAACGCTATTGTAATTTTCTATTAGCTGGCTATTAGAAAAAATTATTAAATTTGTGTGGAATTCTCATTCAAAATCCTTTTGAAACTATAAATCTTCTTTACAAACAGAAATTTTATTTCTACTAGGATTTTTTTTTGCCTAAAAACGATTAAATAAATGATTTAACGGCCTGTCTATCAAGATTTTTTAACTACAGAAAATTTTTCGGTACAAAAAATATCATAGTTTAAATAATAGTAATTGCAAAATAAAAATATCATCATATAATTTATCTAAAGAACGTGTGTGGGTATCAATTCTCATAACCCTACTTTATTGCGCAATAAAAAGGAATAAAGATCTTCAAAATCGATTCGCGTTCATCAAGATTCGACTGGCTATGGTATCAATACTTATAAACTAAGATTGAAGCGGTTAGTAAAATAAAATATAGTATTTGTCAAATAAAACACCATATATCATAGTCATAGACCTTTTCCCTTTATAAAAAATATATATCGATGAATGCATATAGTGAGTTGCCAAAAATGTCCTATGTATATAGAATTCCTATTTTTTTCCAGTCGTAAAATTTGTTATACAAATAAAAAGATTATATATAATCAACACGAACGAATCTAGTCTTAGATAAAATCGTAGATAGTTTTCATTTAATAAATGTTATATAAATCATATTTCAATCTTTTTTTTATCAATCATATTTCAGTCATGCTTGAAAGATACAAATCTATCTTAATTAATCGATCTACTATCTAGCTAGCATTTCGCAAAATTGTCTGGTTAAAATATATTAATTATTCAACCTTCATAAAACTTTTTAAATATTTTGTGAAAAAAATCTATTATTACTTAATCACCGCCTTATTGCGTTTTTATCTAAATTCTAAGAAAACTAATCAATGAAAATTAAAATAATAAACTTAATGAAAACCTATTAAACTTTAAAATTTAGATTTAACTTGTACCACTTCTTACTTCATATCTCTCACTAATTATATCAATATAGATATGCATATAGATTACGATTTATGAATTTTATCACGAATTCTTATCCTTTCCTATATTTGTATTAATTAAGAAAGATTCTCCAATATTTCCTTTGATATCTTTCTTGGTCAACCAGCCTCTATAAATAACAAGCGATCGACGAGACCTCATTCATAAAACCCTACTTCTCCTAGATTCTCCATTAACTTCTCTCAGTACTTCTTCTCTGCTGATCTATTTTAATCAGAAAAGTAAGTCTATGATCTCTCTCTCCCTCTCCCTCTCTTACGTGACATATTGCTAAAATCATTATAAGTTTAGAATTTCTAAATTTGTTAATTCTGTGTAGAATTTAGCATGTAATTATATAATACCTCTTGAAAACTAATTGGCTATTAAATTTTGTTCTAAATATAAAATTTTAATTCACTTTGTTTATCAATATATAATCTAATGTTACATAAAATTATTTTAGTTAAATAGCTATTATATTAAAAATTGAAGGAAGGCAGTAATGTTCTTATATAGGTATGTTTTAGTTCTAAATGTATTTTTTAAATTTATAATTTTTTTTGAAAAAATCTTAAAAAAAGACCACCAAAGTAAAAATAGGGACGTTCACAAAAATTGTTATCAAAACCTGTACTTTTATTATTAAAACCCATACTAATATTGTTATAAGTCTCTATTTGTAATTTTTCTATTTCAGTGATTTTTTTTTTTTTTTGCAATTTTCTCTACTTTTTCAAATTACCTATACTGACAGCACATAGAGGATATTTTCAATCTGTATTTTTCTATTAAAACATGGTAACTTCCAATTCAAATAATTAAAAAGGATGTTTTTAAGGAAACAAATATACGTGTTTTACAAATAACTGATTTAGTTAATTTACTGAATATCTATAACTTAATTACGAAGCTCTTAGATCTATGACTTGAATAGTAGTCATGTTTTAATAACCGTTTGATTAATGGAATTTGAATTTGGTTTCAGGTTCATGGAATATTGAATGGAATAGGGTGGGGAATTCTGATGCCAATGGGAGCAATAACGGCTCGTTATCTAAAAGCATTCGAAGCTTCTGGATCAACATGGTTCCATTTGCACAGAGCATGTCAGATTCTTGCTTATCTCATTGGCACTTCTGGTTTCGCTCTCGGCCTCTTCATCTCTAACCTCTCTCTCTCTTCTCTCTCTCCATCTGCTTTTCTTCATGCCTCCATCGGAATCGCCATCTTCGTCTCTTCCACTGTTCAAGTCCTGGTCGCTGTATTCCTCCGACCACACAAGCGTCACGGTTCCAGAATCTTCTGGAACATCTTCCACTACGTGGTTGGCTATGGAGTCATCGCTCTCGCCATCTTCAACATGTTCAGAGGCTTCTCCATTTCAGGCTCTTATTACCATAGTTGGAAGAATGCTTATTTTGGCATTATTGTTTCGCTGGGCTGTCTGGCTCTCGTATTAGAAGTCCTTACTTGTTGCTTTCTGGCCTGCAAGAGGAGGAACAATCAGAACCAGAAGAAGGAGATTTCTGAGGATGACAACGTTGCTTCACACCAGGAGATATGATTGAGTCATAAGTTAGGGATATTCCTAGGATTATTATATATGTTGTTTTGTGCTACTAGATTTGTAATACATTTTTAAGATTAATTATACTCCTTTGATTCTTCAAATTCTTTCGTGCACGTGAAAATCATCAACATCAATATTAATTTATATTCAAAATTATTGTCCTCTTTTCTTAATTTTGTGTGTCTTCTTTAATTAATTAATGGCATATAATTCATATTTATCATAATTAAGCATGCCGATATATATTTGGCCTTAAACATTTTTTTTATTAATAAAGGAATAGATCTGGCTCAACGCAGATTGACGCATATTTTAAGGAGTACAAAATTATGAGTATTAAATAATATATATTTTTATAGCCTATATATATAAATTAACTAGGTAGTTATACTAGTAGCTAACAACTAAATAATTACTAATATATAGGTTTGCTTTTTCTATTGTAGTTTATTATAGTTTTAATGGTAATTTAAAACTATCTCATGCGTCAGTCTTAATGAGATTAGAGTCACGCACGCTAAATTAAATGTAGTTCACATGTTTTCTTAAACGCAAATTAAGTCACATCGCACTCATGAATATCTTAAATTATTTCCTTTTAATCGCGATTTTTCCATATCTTATCTCCATAGGGAAGAGTCTTATATTTTATACATCATCCTACAATATTCATCACTTCTCTATAATTTCTATTTTTCGTCAGCCCTTTCTTGATAATCACAAATCGTGCTAAACAATAAATACAAAATTAAAAGCACAGCATTATCCAACGTACGTAAACTGAATTTATTGAATTAATTAAACCGATCGAAATATCGATTGATTTTTGCATAATTATTTTCTCAAAATTTAGTTCCTTATTATGATCATCCTCCCTTTACTATATTAGTATTAATTAAAAAAAATCTTTAAAAACAAATGAGTTGTTAATTGAGATGATAAGCAGTCTCATTTCGTAAAGAGTATAACACAAATTCAAATCCTAAAAAACACACTTGTTGAAAGGGTTTTAATCTTATGCTCTCGGTTTGAAAAAAATTAGTTTCAAACCTAAAATGACTTGATGATATTTTGAGTTATACAAAAAAAAATTCCTTGAAAATGAAAACAACAAGTATAATAAATTTGATAAATCAAGTTTTCAAAGTGTGATTTTGAAATAAGTTACGCTACGCAATCATTTTCATGGGTCTATAAATTAACTAAACAACGTACGATGCATTGCATTATCCCACTCCAAAATTCCCAAAACTTGTATTTCCTTTTCTCTCTGTATTCTTTATGGATTCTTTTCGGAAGCTTCGTTTGTTTTTGTTTCTGTTCTTCAGTGTTCTCACCATCACCTCAGCCACTCCACAGCCACAACCACAGTCTTGTAATGACTCGCCATCACTTCTTGCCTGCAACTATCATTCTTTTTCTTCTTCTTCAAACTCCAAGTTTCAGATTCCTGAGAATTCCACTTTGATCAATGATGACGCTTTTTCAGCTGGACCAAATATCAGTTCTTCTAGTCAGATAGATTTTGTCCCAGTCCAAGTTTCCAATGATGATAATGAGAATTCAGACAACTCAGAGAATTCAATCAGAAAAGTAAGCCTGTTCACTTCTTAAATATCTACAAAAACATTTTGTTTAAACCAGCCACATACACACACACATATATATATGGATTGTGTTTTTAATGCGTTTCTTGGTCAGGTTCATGGAATATTGAGTGGAATAGGTTGGGGGATTCTGATGCCAATTGGGGCAATGATGGCTCGTTATTTGAGAGCATTTGAAGCTACTGAATCTTCCTGGTTTAATCTGCACATGGCTTGCCAGGTTCTGGCATACTTAACTGGAACCACGGGATTGGCTTTAGGAATCTACATTGGAATTATGAGTGAACAATTTTCTGTTCACGGCTACATTGGGTTCGCCATATTCTTTGCCTCTACTTTTCAAATCGTGCTTGCTTTGAATTACAGGCCTAAGGAAGATGACAAAGACAGAATCTTTTGGAACATTTTCCACTATGTAGTTGGCTATGGAGTCATCGTTCTTGCCATCTTCGATATGTTCAAAGGTTTCTCCATTTCAAGCTCTTATCATGGGACATGGAAGAATGCTTATTTTGGTATTATAGTTTCATTGGGCTGTGTGGCTTTCATATTGGAAGTCACTACTTGGTTTCTGGTGTGCAAGAACAGGAAGAAGAAGGAGGAGGAGGAAGAAGAGGATGAGAATTCTGATGACAATAACATATAAGGATGAGTCATGACGACCGGGAGTTTATTCCTTAGAGATTATAATTCATGAATGTTGTTTTTAATTTCAGTTTGTGCTGTGCTCTATGATTAGGCTAGTTGGTGACTTAATTAAAAATTGAAATTCTGATTTTTTTTTTAAAAAAATCAAGAATCTATAACTGTAAATTTAAATGGTTTTAACTAAATTTAATTTGGGTGATACAGATGTAATGTATCATTTAAAAAATAAGAATACTGATGGCCAGTGGTTCTTCGTAAGTTACAACGTCCTGTGGATTAAAAGATTATTATAATTGTAGGTTTATGACTTATGTAAATATTTATTTGGTATCATATATAATTAATAATTAATTGAGATTTTCATCCAAATGACACCCGCAGAAAGTGAAAAATATATAGCCATCTTATAAATCATTGAAAGACATAATGTATAATTTATATGTTAATTGGGGTCTTATAACCCAAATAATACTAGGCATCTTTTTTAAGGTTTCCTCAAACACGCTATTGTGAGTTCGGAACATCTATAATTGGTATTTGAGTTATAGCAAATATATATATATATATATAAAATAAATGTTATATAAATAATAATAAATAAATTAAGATTTATTCTGATCTATACTAAGTTACTAACCTAAAATTAGTTTGCTTTCAATTGTTTTTTGATAAAGAAAAAATCACGGAAAGCTCACTTACCATATAAATATGTTAAAGATATAGTAGTATATTTAAATTTAAATTGTACCAAATCCTAAAGGGAGAATGACAAAACAATAAGTTAAAAATTACTAAATTTCAAATTAGATTTGATAACAACAATATTGACAATATTAAATTTGCAAATGATAATAAATTTTTGTTAATATTTTTGTTTGACATTTGCAAATTTTTAACTTCTTTTTTTTTTAATCATTTTTCTAATCTTAAATTTTTTTTATCCATCATGATATCAATATAAATTATGAAATATATATATATATATATATATATATATATATATATATATATATACACACACGCACGCACGCTCCCTCTCCAGTCTCTCCTTCATGTTTCGCTAATAAACTTCACTCAATCTTCTGTCACAGTCGTATGACTTGTGTCACTTTTCATCAACATCCATGGCTTCTTCATGGAAGCTTCTTCTCTTTCTCATTCTCGTCTTCAACCTCGTCATCACCATCTCTGCAACCCCAAATCCAGCAGCTTCTGGCGAATCATACCTATCTCCTCATCATGATAAGAATTCTTTAGCTCTTAAACCTCCTGTTCCCTGGAACTGCGACCTTTTCTCTTCCTCAATGGTGAACAATTCCGCCTGGCAAGAGGGCTATATTTTCGACGAATCCGATAATGCTCCCCTATCTGCTCTTCTCGGAGTATTTGAGTTCTCCAGATTTCTCAGAGCATATCTGGTTTTAAGTCATTACGACCCCTCGACGACGGCGTCTAGTATACCGGAAACCATTAAAGATATGCACATGATTATATTTACAATGGCAATACTATGTGCAGTTTCTGGAATTGATTTGATAAAAAACATATTTGCAGACGACGAGGAAAGAAAATCGGCGGACTCTTTATGCAGCAAACATGGTTGTACATTCATTGCTTTTGCCTTACACGAAATCCCCAGATTCTATCCCGATCCGTACTCTTGCAGCAAGTGGGGGAAGCCTTTTAGATTCGGAATTGTCTTGTGCTGTTTCATTGTCTTCGTGGAATTGGTAAGAGAGTTCAATGAGTTCTTCAGAGAAGAATTAGAAAGAGTTGTAGAAGAAGCAGAACTAGAAAGAGCTATAGAAGAAGAAGAAGAATGAGTACTGGTATTCGATGGAGATGTATTCTGGTGATCGATCAAGAGTTCATAAATTATATCGAGTTATGTGTGTTCTTGGATTTGTTTTATTTAGATGTATGTACTCATAAATTTAGGTTTAACAGCACTAATTAGAAATAAGATTAGAGATAAAATTGTATTAAAAAAATCGGTAAAATTGCATTGAAAAGAAAAGAAAAAAAGAAAGATCATGAATAAAATTACACTGCTGCAAAAAGGTATTAGTGCATATAAGATTTACCAATAATTATAATATAGGCTGAATGCGAATTTTTAACGTGTCGCTTACTCAGTAACTAATTTATCTTGTTATATAAGTTTAAATAAGTTTTATCCAGTATTTGCAATGATAGAAAACATAAATAGTAAACTTCGTTTTTAAAATTTCGTACATTGTACCAGAAAACATGTGCACCCATTTAGTAGCATAGTTAATGTATTTAATTCCATGTTTTTCCCTTGTTGGATTATAATCCTACCTTTTTTTTCTGGTTTTTTTATAAGCCTGTTGACCGGCCTTTACGTCATCAATATTTATTATAAAATTTATTATGAGTTTATATTATTCATAATTCAAGCGGTGCGGCTCCTTTTTTTTCCCCTGCCAAGAATAGACTCATTTTTCATATGAAATTACAAGCCATGTTTTTTTTTTAAAGTATAGATATCTTTTTATTAGAAATAATCATATTCAAGATACTAAATGTAGGTACTTCTACCAATAAAAATTTAAATCTTAATTCATTATATCATGAGAAATTAACTTGTTCTGTTAGACTTAATCCCTTAAAAAAAATTAGCAGAGGTCTTTTTTTTTTCCCTCGCTTTTGGGCCAAAACCCCCCGGGGGGTTACGCCGTTTGCAATATTAAAAAGACAAGAGGGGGACTTGTAATTTAGTCAAACCGAAGGGGGGTGACAGTAATTTCAGAGCCTCCTTCTTCTCCCCTCGCCATTTTCCTGTTGCTCCTCTCATCCCCCATCTTGAGCTGCATTGGTTGTGCATTTCTTAGGCTCCGCTGGGCTCACACTTTTCATGTCCATGGCAATTTCTGGGTACGTACTTCCTTCTTCCGCTTCCTCGTCTCTGAGCTCTCTCTCTTTTGCCTTCCGCCGCATCTCTGGTTTCTCACTGCTATCAAAAAACCCCGCCCAACCAAAGACTCTCCGTCTATTTCATTTTTCTTAGGCTCCCAGGATGACCATCGCCAGGTTCCCTGAAAATTCGCTATAAGTTTCGTTTTTGTGTTCTTCGCTCTTACCTGCCTTTAATTGGGTGTATTAGCTGGGTTTTTCGGTTGATTGTTTCAGCAGGATTTGTCTAAACCCAAGATATTTCTGCCTAATGGGGTTTTGGATCTTTGGATCTCTTTTTCTGGATTCCAACTTTCTGATCTATATGTGGAACTGAAGTAGATGTTGCTTTAGTGCTGGTCAATTTTGTGGAATGGCCGGTTCTGGCAATTTGTGTCTCTGTAAGTTTTGGCAGAGGATCATGGTTCTTCGATGGCTAGTGAGATTACGGAAAACATTGCTTCCTGCTTGATGGTGGATTCACTTTTTCAAATTGAAAAGTCCTATTAATCTGTTGCAGAGGGATTTAATAGGGCTTTTCTTGTTTGTATTTATAAGTTTTTGCTTGGGTGAGCATGACTCTTTTCTTAATTAGGATTTCTGATTTTTGCGAGACATTCGATTACTGTATTTCTGGAGATTCTGATTTTATTTTGTCCCTTTTAACTAAACGTCTTTTTAAGTTTTCTGATTTGCCCCTTTTTGTGGGGTAAGGAGACCTTGAGTTTTTGGATGGTATTTTGCTAGAGGATTCTTGCTTTATTCCTGAGAATTTCTCTTGTTTCCTTTTAAAAAGGTCTGAACCTTTTGCCATTGCTTCGAAATCAAGTGCACTCCTGGAGTTCTGTTGACTCTCTCTAGTCTTTCCTTCAAGATGGCCACAAATGATCGCCGTTTTGTAGAATGGAAGGAGCAGTTTATTTCACAGGAGCGTGGCAATCGTGTAGTCCACTATTACCTTAAGGATTCTGCTGGGGATTCAATACTTGCAGTTGTGGGCACTGAGAGGAGCCTGAGACACATGTTCTATGTTGTTGCTGATGAGTTTCTTGAAGTTTGTGGGAAGGAGGGTGCCAACCATGCTGGTTTCAAATGGAGGTCCAGAAGAGAGGTGGTAGATTGGTTGACATCGATGCTATCAAAGCAGCATCAGCTGGGAGACAAGAGTGGCAAGTTAACTGTTCCTTTTATGTTTTTAGTTTTCTTTTCATTACTTACCTCTATTGCGCAACATATAAATATTTTCTGGTTGTCTGAGTCACAAACTTACTATCAAACGATATGAACTGACAAACAATGACAAGTAAGACGTCGATGAAGATTTTTCCTTTTTATATTTAATGCTGATATCACTTTTGTATAATGCTGCATTCAAGATTCACTATCGCAAAATTTTAACGCTACAGACTTGTGTTCTATTAGCTAAAATAGTTTTCTCAGAGTAGGAGTATAACTAAGATCCTAATTTGATTACAGTATTGCCAAGTCATAACTTGACACAAACTCATGAGATCACGAATGGCAGTCTCAAAGAATTTATTGATCTGCATACAAAGATATCAGATAAGGTATATTTGTTTCTCCTTTCTTTTTCTGCATCCCACTTCTTTATTTCCCGTTTGTAGTTAATGTGTTTGACGTTCTGCCGTATGTTTGTTTCTCTCTTTCCTAGGGCCTTCTTATGAGCAACTTCAAAGGACAAAATTCTGACATTGTTTGGTCAGGCGCTGCCTGGACATGTGGGAAACAGCTTAAACATTATCCTGCTTTTTACAGGAATGGGATCGAAATAGCAGTAAGCATGCCTTAAACTAAAAACCAAGGACTACTATAAGAATTTCATCAGAATCAGAAGCAATCTTAAATAGAAGAATTTCAGGGATATGTAGAAAAAATAATGAAAATTTTTGGGTATTTGCTTTGAGACCTGCTTTGTGGCGTAGGTGGTCTGATTATTGTCAGTGTTAATATATATAAACTTCCTTTCCTCTGTTTCCTTCTCTGCTTAAAACAAATACATCTGGTTATTTTTGTCACACTCTTTGTCTTTCTGATATCCAGACTCAATCTTTCGTTTTCGTCATGGCAACGGGAGAGAATCATTATGTTGCATATTTGGAAGACATGTACGAAGACAGGAGGGGTCAGAAAAAGGTTAAAGTGAGGTGGTTTCACCATAATCAGGAAGTCAAAGGTGTAATTCCCGTGAGAAATCCTCACCCTCAAGAAGTTTTTATCACATCTTATTCTCAAGTAATTAGTGCTGAGTGTGTTGATGGCCCTGCCACAGTCTTAACTCGGGAACATTATGAAAAGCTCTTGCCTGCTTTTTCTCCTGCCTCATCAAATAGAATCCATTTGTGCTTTAGGCAATTCCGAAACAACAAAGTGAAGCCCTTTGACTTGAGTAAATTGCGTGGCTACCACAATCAACCAGTTCTCTCTTGCTTGAACCTTGATTCCTTCCAAAATCCTAAATGTAATAACCTTGCGGAAGAAGATGAAGAGTTGAGCCTAGGAGATGATGTAAGGCCTGAAGCTAAGAGGAACAAAAGAAGTAGGGGGTCTTCTCAGCATTCGGTAGATCACCAGGGAGTTAGGAAATTAAGTAGAAGTCAGAAAATGATGGTGGGCAAAACCATCGAGAATGTAGATTATGCTAGGCCGGATAGGAGATTGCTTTCTGGGAAACAGGTTGATTATCAGCCCTGGTATAACTCCAAATACAAGGTTGATGACAAGATAGAGTTACTCTGTCAAGACAGTGGCATCAGAGGCTGCTGGTTCAGGTGTACAGTGGTGCAAGTATCCCGGAAACAGATAAAAGTCCAATATAACGACGTGCAGGATGAAGATGGAGGTGGCAATCTTGAGGTATGATCAAGCTCTTGTATTGTTAGGCTTCTTAGTTGAGTTATTCTTTGACTTGTTTTGCAAGCCTGACCGACTAGAGTCAGATTCATCTGTCTGTGACATGAGTTGTATTTTTACCCTCAATGCAAACCATTTATAAATGTCGTTTTTGAATTTAAGACACTTGATCTTCTCCATTGTGTAGGAATGGATACCTGCTTTTAAACTTGCCATGCCCGATAAACTTGGGATGAGACATTCAGGCCGGCCCACCATCAGGCCAGCCCCAACTTGTGAGGGTCAGCAAGAACTGACTGCTGAAATTGGAACTGCAGTAGATGCATGGTGGAGTGATGGTTGGTGGGAGGGGGTTGTGAGTGGAATTGACAACGTTGATGATGCTAATGTGCAAGTTTACTTTCCTGGTAACTATATTACTTTTTCTTTCTGTCTTTCTTCTTAAAACTATTTCATCATCCTCCATATTGCAACAACCATTTTTGACATTGTCAGGTGAAGGTCTGTTGAGGAAAGTATGCAAGAAGGATCTAAGAGTATCTCGAGACTGGCTGGGGGACCGATGGGTTGATATTGAGCTAAAGCCTAATGTAGCCTCTACTATATTTGCAGTTAATAGCTCTAACACAAAGTTTTCAGAGTCCCCCTCTACCACTAAAGATGTTGACTCTTCTGGGGTTGTTGTTTCATGTCAAGATGTTCCTATTAGTGAGAAGTCTAATGAACTAAATGATGTTGCTGAAGACATGAATCAGGTTATTGATAACAAGCCCCCTTCAGAAGAAGAGACAAGTACTGAAGTTGTTGAGACCGAGCAACATGGAAGTTGTGATAACGAAGATAACCGTGATGATGACAGAGACAATAAGGAAGAGAATGATGGCAATGATAACAAAAGGATTGATAATGATGTGAGGGATATGGAGGTGTTTGGGACTTCTGGGGAGGACTCTAAAGCCGTGGAACCCATGGAAGTGGCTGTTTAAACATTCTTTCTGGAGAGTTCATGCTTAAACTTGTGATGGTGCTGATCTTGGAACTTTGCCATCAATTCATGTTTAGATGTAATTCTAGTCTGTTAGAATGTAAATAGTTACACCGGTACGTGGGGAAGCTAATTCCTTTTCTTACTTCTTTAGTTGCCTGCATAGATGTTGTACAGTGTTGAGAGTAGCCCCTCTTAGTTTCTTTCCATTTTTCTCAGGGATTGTGTCAGAAATTAGATTTTCTCTTCTCTTATTTTCTTTTTTCACCTTCTTCGTAGAGACAAAGGTTGGGGAACAATTCACTTGTCAGCGAGTTATACTCATTTGTGGTCAACGTAACTAAATATATTATATGGATGTAGAAGCTTCTTCTTGTTCTTATTTCTCCAAGCATGCTATATGGTATTATTTATGCCAATAACTTAAACAAGAGTCACTGGAGCACTTTCAATAACAAGTGCACAGGGGTTTTGAAGTTCAGAGAATAAACTATGAAGTCTTCGACTCATGCAAGTTAACTGAGAGCAACAAATTTATAGAATATATATAGATATATATATATATATATAATGATTCTTGAAAGTTTGAATTGATACAGTTTGAACATCGGGTAACTGACACTACCAGACATGTAACACTGAAATAGATACAAAAAAGATAAAAATAAAAAATGAAAGAATGAAAACTCCGCATTATGTGTTATCTACTGCATAAATGAAGATGATGTAGACAGAATCACACGTCATGTGGCGTGAGCAACATGTATGGCTATAGCCTAAGCCACTGGTCCCCATTTATGAAACTCTTATCCAGAAAAGGCCTTGCTTCTTCATAGCTCAAACATTTTGACCATTCTACCCTTCCTCTCCTATCTGCTCCGTCTCCCTCACACTGGTACTCCCCAAACACAGCAGTCCTGCAAAATGCCCACATACATCATAACTCGTAATGTGCACACCATAGGAGGTGAACATAGGTACAAGTATACACATTGAGTATGACATCTTAAAATTTTTTTTAGCATAGAGAAAATGGAGATATGTACTGGAAAAGGCAATAGATAAAGTATTGAGTATAATTTTATTGAGATGTGATTAGTGTTATACATCTGTCTGTCTGGATGGTTCCAGTCAGTCCAGCCTTCTGGGATGATGATATCATCCATATAGCAGAAAGAGTAGATGATTCTGGAGTAATCACCCCAGGCCCTGCCAAGATAGACACTGCCAGTGCCTGTGATGGAGCAATTTACAAAGGAGAAGCCTGTGTCTTCATTTTCTGTATCCCTGTGATGTGCTGCTATAGCTCCATACGTCTCTGCTATTGAATGAAGATGACAATTCTGCTCAAAATTTACCATATCATAGGGATTATGAACTTAAGCATGATAAAATTAAAACGCTTTAAACAAAACAGTGAATAGTTTTCTATATTGAGAGCAGATGAACTACTTTGTTTTTTTATTAAGTTTATGCCTAAACATGTAAAGAAGTTAATGTCATTAAAACATATTCTTGAACAGATTACTAGTTCTAAATGAAGTAAGAGGGTGAAACCTGGTAGAGTGATTTTGCATGGCCAAATATGAAATCAATTTTGCCTTGGATATGACAATGATAGAAATAATGAGTGCCTGTGTTGTCCAACAGAGTGTCTTGTTCCCCTTTGATCCTCACCCTATAAAACACGGCCCTTTCACTGTCCACCCTTAGTGCCACTCCTTGCATTCCATTTCCTCCATTCACCGCCACTGCCGAGTTCTGCAACCAACCACCAAAATTCATAGAAAGTCATACTATTTGCATATGTCATGATTTCTACTCCCTCTTCCAATGCTTAATATAAAAGTTACTGAACTAATAATAAAAATGTGACTTGATTTCCCTAAAATAATCTTATATAGCATTATATTATATATCGGTTTATAAGTTAAATAAATTAGTTTGGGAAAAAATATTATGAGACAAGGTGAACTGGAGTGTTATATGAAGGACTAAATTCAACTCCTAACTAACTCCTATATAAGGAAATATTACTCATCAGTTTATACAAAATCTAGTTATGCCTAATCACAAGGTGGATACTCTGGCATTGAACAAAATTTGAGCATTGAGTCATACCATTTTGAGATCACTTTATTATATGTTAAGCAATGAAAAATGATGACTGAGTCATATGTACCTCAAAAGTGAGCCTGGTTGCACAGAAATAGTCAGATTCTACAGTCACAGTTGAAGAAGCATAGGTCCCCAGTTCTTGTCCATCAAAGCCTCTGTCCGATGATTTACTGTTCCACGTAATCACTGCACCCGCTGTTTCATTTCGTCCTCCTATCATTGACACACACCCCTTGGCTCTCGGCACATACACTCTCTCTCTGCAACAACACTAACAAAAAAGGATCAGGTTCTCAATGGAAGAAAACCTTCTTCTTCTGCATTTGTAGAACCTAAACAGACAACTATAAATGAAAAGAAACAACACAAGATAATACAGAATACACACATATGGACCTGTAAATTCCAGGGTATATGTAAATTTTGATTCTTTCTGAGTTGTTATCAGGAACCATATCGACAGCTCCTTGTACAGTCCTAGAATGTCCTCTGCCATGCTGGTCAACGACAATAACCCGGGAATCGTCAATGGGGTCCCGGGTCAACCTCTGCTCATCCACCCACAAATCCTTCCAGCTAATGTAGTTACTGACATGGTTTTGGTGGCAGGACGAGAGACCTTCTGCCAAATTATTCATCAACTGAACACAAACCCAGAAAACCACAACTGAAACTTTAGATAAACCCATTCTCTGAAAACTCAGTGCAAAGGAAGAACAAGGTTGAAATCAAACACTGTTCGAGAAGAACACAGCAAAAATAAGAGGTAAAGTAACGGTTCTTAGTTTGGCTGAAACGTGGAAGAGCTTATTGAAATAAATAAGAGAGCGTGTGCTCATGAATGTCATAACAATACAGTACACTAAGTTTTTTTTGTTTCTTCTTTTTTAGTCTAGTAGAAGAACGTGAAGAGAAACAAATTCTTGCATATATCATGTTTATGACTCTCTCTTTCTCACTCTCTCTCTCTCTCTCACACGCGCGCGCACAATCTCTGATGTTAGAAACATCGAAATGCAGAGAAGACTGAGCAGTTATATAATTCAATTTAATTTTACATGAAATTGGGTTATAACTGTCACCAATGATGATTATTTAGCAGAAAATAAGGCATTAAAATCGGGTCATGCAGTGGTATGTCCTTTGGACAGTTTGATTCTGAATATTCCCTCCAATTTTCTTGACTATAACTGTGACAAAGCAACGCTTTCTTGCTATATTTACCAACATATTAAATATTCATTGATCGTAGGCTGCATATTTTACTCTAGTTATTTATTTTAAAGTTATATATATTATTTATTTTGTCATAATTTACGCCCCCCACATTTATCCCCTTCATAACGAGTTCTAACCTGCTATCTCATGCTTGATAAGATTGCTTTAAAAGAGGTGTTTTGTATTATTTGGATTACAAGGCCCCAACAAAATTAGATTTTAGTTGTATTGTTGTGTTGCTCAAGTTCTAAGAAATTCACTAATTAAGAAGTATGGAATCTATGAATATATATACACACACGCATGAAGCATAATCAGTGTTAGAACCTGCCATATAATTTTAAAGTAACATTTTGATGCAGCCGATAGCCATATATTTTAGGCCAAAAAACAATCAAGAAGACTCGCAAGAGGGAACTTTTCAGCTATTCGTACGTCCAATTATTTTTTTTAGTCATTGCCCAAGAGTCATTTAATGGGAAAAAATATGTATTTAATACTCTGACTTTATAGAAAACTTCAGTCTATTCCCTTGATTTTATTTAAAAATATAGTTTAACGGATGTTATGTGTCTAGACTCTTTTTCTACCTCATTCCCCTTTTATAATTAGAAAAATACAGTTAGGGTGTGTTTAGGTATAAATAAATCCTAAAAAGGCGAGAATGTATAAAAATTATATTTTCTTATGAGAAAATTTGAGTATCTAAACTATAATTTTTTCCCTACGTAATTTTAAATGAACCAAAATAATTGGATTTAAAAATTAAAATAATTTAAAGCATTAGTAAGAATATTCATTTAAATCATAAATAAAAAAATTTTATTTTCTTTTAATCAAAAAGTTAAATTTTATTTTCCTTAAAAAAACTCATTACTTTTACCAAATCTTGGTTTTGTTTTTGCGGGTTCTATTATATGCTGATCAAACCCAAACCGGACTTATTTGAGCCCAAGTAGATGGGCCTGTTTTGGAATGGACTGCTTCAATAGGCTCTTTTTTAAAAAAAAATTATTTTTGGTATAAATCAGAATATCCTTATAAACTGAAAGCGTCAAGGTTAAAGCACTTCTAACAGGTGTGCGTTTCTCAGGATTCAACTTGTATTTTCTTTCTTATCTTACCGCTCACTATCTCAATCAAGTTTGTTAATTTTTTTGTCAAATTTTTTAACCGAACATATGTATATATAAATGTTGGTTTGACATTTTACTTTTGAGTACTACAAAAATAAAATTTAAAAACAAAAATTGTACCAGAAAATAGAGTTAACGGAAACCAGATCGTTAACACTGGAATCAAGTTTTGCAAAAATATATTTATTATAGTTATTTCTTATAAATAAATCAAAATAAGCAATTTTTAAATTAAAAAAGTAACTTAAATCATTACCAGCACGGGTTAGTTTGACGGTGAAAAAAATTTGAAAAAAAAAAATAAAAATCCATTTATTTTAATAAAAAAATTACACATTATTATCTTTAAGCCATAATAACCCCTTGCATTAGAATTTTTTTTATTAAACACTATTGGAGGCAAGTTCAAGATAATATCGTGAACACGTCTTCAAAAACCTTGGTCCTGTTAGAATTAAATTAAATTACTTTTGTTATGTGTATTTTCCTTTAACTGTCTTCATTTTTTGTTAGGCCTGTTATATGTTGATGAGGCTAACTCGTCTGGTATGAGGGAAAATGAGAAGAGGGAAGCAGAAGAAAAATTTTAATAAGCTTAATTTAAAAAATTAAAAAAGCAGAGTTAAAAGTTTTTAATTAATTTTTTATTACTCTTTTATATTAGTTCTTCTTTTTATTAAAATTTCAAAACCCTATTTTTTTAATTTTTTAAATAGAACTTATTAAAAATTTTCTTTCCCTCCCCTTCACTTCATTTTCCTTGTACCAAACACTACTTAAAACTGGACTATTTTAAGCCTACGCAGGTGGCCTGTTTGAAGAATGTTTTTTTGTAAAAATAAGCGGAATGGTTGCACTATAAATATTGGCTTTATTTTTATTTTATGTATTTTTTTTTTTGCTTGAGATTGGTGCAAAAGAAAAATAACGGAATTGATGGGAATTAGGAGATATTTGGGTAAAATCAAACTGTGATTTTAAAAATAGTTTTACAGAGTACCAAAAAAATATGTAAAAAAAATTTAGTTTTAACTTATGTAAAAATACTTTTAAAAATTACTTTTAGAGTGACCAAACACTCCCTTAGTCAACAGTGATGGATTATGTGGGGAATGGAATACGTTGCTTCAAATTTCAACAAAGAGCTCACATTCTTTGTTTCAACTTAAAAAAAAAAAATTTCATTTTTCAAAAAATGAGCTATGAACTTTCATCAAACTTTCATAGATACCCCAAATAACCCAGTTAATTTGTGTTTGAATTAGCTTTTGAAAAAATAGATTTTGAGCAGAATAAATTTAGCAAAATCTCACAAAAAAATACTTCTTGAATTTTAAAATTTTAAAATAATTTTATTTATTACACTTTAATGAAAATTGAAGGTATTTGAAAAACAAATGATAACATATTTTTGTAATAATTTTTTATTTAAAATTTTGAAATTCAAGAATCATTTTTTTAAAAAAATTTCTAAAAAAATTTTAAAAAAAATAAAATAAATTTTGAAAAAAATGATATTGATAAAATTAAAAAAATTTGGATGGTTGTTATCAAAATTATATTTTATATATAAATTATTAAAAAGGAATATAAGTTGATGGAATAATTTATAAAAGATAGTTTTAATCCAAATGATATAAAAGAGTATTTTATAAAAATCAATATATATTTTTTGACGAGGAATTAATTCAAATATTTCCTAAAATCTAAATTAAGTAAATTTTATCCTACCGAATGGAATCAAATTTTTGTCCAAAAAAAGGAAAATGGAATCAAAGTTGCGTCAATGGTTGGAGGCGGAACTGCAGTGACTGACACGCGCCAATGGAACCAAAATATCGCTTTCCCATCGCCAAAGTGAAACAATGATTTTGGGGCGTATAATAGATTTTGGATTTTATAGGGCCCCTTTGGATAATTTGCTGTAAAAAGGCCTCTCTTGTTAAGTTATTATTTTATTTTCCTTTTCAGAATAAGGTTGTTACTTTCTCTTCACATCCTGTTTTCAACTTTCCATGTTGTTCCCTTCTTCACACGTGATGCGTTGTGGTCCATGTAGTAATACTCTTTTAATTAACTCGTACGATTAAAAAAAAAAGATAATTATTTATGATTATTGCGGAGAACTTTCGTGACACTTTTACAAAAATACCCCAATAAATTAATGATAAAAATTTAATACATAATAATGAGATGTCTCATTAAATAAGAATATTATAAAAAAAAAAAGGGTTAAGATATAAATTTGCTCACAAGGTTTTGGCTAAGAAGCGTTAGGCATTTAAAGTTTTTTTATATATAAATTTGTTCTAAAAAGTTAAAATCATAATAATATTATTTCTTATCTTAATATTTTTAACAATAAGAGTAATATTGTTATAATTTTAAATTTTTAAGATAAATTTACACCTTAACTCAAAAAATAATTAATATTAAAACAAGAAAAAAATATTGATTTCATATTTGAGCATTATTGACTATTGAGTATAACTAGAGGTGAGTCTCATATTTTCTGCATTAATATAAACTTAAAATTTTATGTTTAAACTGCCAAAATTGCCCCCACTAAGAGCCAAGTGCCTTAAAATTAGATAGAGCAGTCCCACTTTCCTGTGAATTCCTTATTTAACGCAGCCATATCCCTGCCGCTCGAACTCAACCATTTCTCGCATCTTCTTGGACACCAAAAGTTTCAATCTTTGCACGCAATTCTTCATTGTTTTTCATTCTTTTCTGCTTCTTCTTCATCTGATATAGCAGACTCGGACCTGCCATTTCATGGCCTCTTGTTTCGATGCTTCAATGGCAGGCATCACTAAACCCAACCTACCTTCCCCGAAAAAGCCAAGCGCCTTCCAAATCGACGGTAACTCGTGCAACTCGATGAAATTATGCCGACCCTCTTGCTCCGATCGTGTCTCCACCTTGCCCGTTTGCAGAACCCAAGCCAGAACCCAAAACACCCACATGGTTCTCGAGAAAGTCGACCAGAACGAGCGCGAAGAGGAAGAGGAAGAGGAAGAACAAGATGACGATGTGTGGCTGAGGCTCCAGCACGAAGCGCGATTAGATGTACATGAGGAACCCATATTGTGCACTTACTATTACAGCTCGATTCTCTCTCACGAATCACTGGAAAGCGCCTTGGCCAATCACCTCGCTCTCAAATTGAGCAGTTCGAGTCTCCCTAGCGGAACCCTAAACGACATCTTCCTGGGAGTCTTCACAGAACATCAAGAAATCATGGTTTCAGTGAAGGATGATCTTAGAGCAGTGATGGAAAGAGACCCTGCTTGCATAAGCTATGTTCATTGCTTCTTGAACTACAAAGGCTTTCAGGCTTGTCAAGCACACAGAGTAGCTCACCAATTGTGGCTACAGGGCAGAAGGGTATTAGCCCTTCTGATTCAAAACAGGGTTTCTGAGATTTTTGCGGCAGATATACATCCAGGGGCCAAAATGGGAAGTGGGATTTTGCTGGATCATGCTACTGGTTTTGTGGTCGGAGAAACTGCAATGATTGGTAATAATGTGTCAATTCTGCATAATGTGACATTAGGAGGAACTGGTAAGGCTTCTGGGGATAGACATCCTAAGATTGGTGATGGTGTTCTTATAGGTGCTGGCACTTGTATCTTAGGAAACATTAAGATCGGTGATGGTGCTAAGATTGGTGCTGGTTCTGTTGTGCTTAAGGATGTTCCTCCTAGGACTACTGCTGTTGGGAACCCAGCTAGATTGGTCGGAGGCAAGGACAACCCTACTAAGCTTGATAAGATCCCTAGCTTCACCATGGATCACACTTCTCATATTTCTGACTGGTCTGACTATGTTATCTAAACCCCGGAGGCTAATCCTCAACAATGCTTGTATGAAGCACTGTATTATACTTAGGACCTGTGGTTAGAGGCTCACAGCTATCTGTTTCTTCAATATGAAGAATACATGAGAGGTCATCCCAGTTCTATTAGCAAATCTGAGAGAATTCAGGACCCATTGTGTCTTTAGTATCTTTGAACTCTGATATTTAATGAAACAAAATTATGTCAGTGCTTTCATGTGTTTGATTGATGCTGGTTTTGGTGTCAGTATTCATCAGCTTAGTAAAAGAGTTATTGTTACGAGACTTTGATTTTGGCCTTTTGATGTATTAGAGTTGATAGAAAGAAAGAGAGAGAGAGTATTTAGGAGCGAGGTTTAGCGGTATCAGATCTGCAGAGCAGCTGGAACTACTACTTTACTACTTGCTTTTTTTTTTTTTTTGACCATGATACTGGTTGCCATTGTAACTATGACAATGACAAAACTTTTTAGCTAACGAATTTAATAAATTTGAGATCCCATTATAGGTAAGCTGACGTTGATTTGAATTGCTTATAGTGTTTTGAGGTATTGTGATCTCCAGTTATGATGTTCTTGTTGAAAAGCACACATCCAAAACAAAACCAGTAGCCAATTAATAAATGATCGACATTCGACAGTGAGACAACACAATTGTATTAACCCTTGTATAAATCAGGAGGCTTCTTTGTATCTGGTATAATGAAGCGTCCATATTCATCAGACCCTGACATTTCTGTCCTGAAGCTCGTCTGATATTGTTAAAATAAAATTCATTAGCTGGTCCACTGTTGCCTGCTCCCAAGCACTTTTTGTTTTTGGCCCTACCAACCCCTTTTTCTTCGTTTAAAAAAATGACAATTTCTGACATGAAGAGACCATTATTTGTACTAAAGTATAAAGAAGTCGTTCATTTCCTGTATAAAAAGGCATGCAAAAGAAGTACAGAACGTTCATGATTCATAATTGCAGTGTACATCAAGACGACCATGTTTCTGGCTCACCAATACATTCTTGTCGCTTCCTATACCTAATGGCCATTTAAACCCAGTCAAAAACTTTTTATTGATGTTAAAATCCATATACCTATGCATAATATAAAAATTTGTCCCATTGTTTTCTTCAAAATCAGAAGCGGACGCTTCTAGCTGTAATCAGCAGTTAAAGATTGTGTTCTGTGAATCTGATATGCTTTTCCTCCCTATTCATCACATTGTGATGGAAGAATAAGAATCTACACACTTCTGGATTGTTAAGTCCATCCCAAGGTATATGTGTTGGCATCTTTTTTGTTTTCTCCTTTTTCTTTTCTTAACAGAATTTACTGAAGTTTTAATCTTTTAGTCAGTGTATCCTCCTACCAGTTAAATTGTGATTCGTTGTGTGAGAACATGTGCGGTGCAGTGGTAAGATGATTACGCTTTTTCATATCATGGGTATTTTTGTGGGACGCAGCTTCTCTCCTTTTCCCTTGCCATCCGCTGCCCTCCTGTACCTTTAATACTGCGCCGTTTTGAGTGAAAGCAAGGGAGGGTGAGGGCTCTTTTTTAATTTTTTAAAAAAAATCTGATAACTTAAAATATTTTTTCAGCGTCATTTCCTATCCTAAATTAATTGTTAATGCACTCAGCGAGGTAAAATATTTTTTAGTAGCACCCAATATTTAACACCCAACATTCTAAGATACTTTTTAATAGCACTTAGTATTGTAAAATAATTTTTGGTCCTCTTAGCAGGCTAAAAATTTTTTTTTAGTAACATCTATATGACATCCAACATGCTGCAGTACTTTTTAGTAGTATCAAGTATCTTGAACTAAATTTTAGTGACTATAAAATATTATATGAAAAATATTTCAAGATACTAAATGCTAGGGTGTTAGATATACTAAAAATTAATTTATGATATTGGGTGTTATTAGAAAAATACTTTAATATGATGGATGTCAAAATACTAGATGCTATTAAAAAATATTTTAGGACACTGAGAGTTAACTATTGAGTACTAGTAGAAAAATATTTTAGAGTGGTAAGTGTATTAAAAATTAATTTAGGATATTTAGTGAAACTGAAAAAATATTTTAGAGTATTGGATTTTTTTTTAACAGAAAAGCATTCACTCTCTCTTGTTTTTCGCTCAAAGCGTTGCAGCTTTGAGGGTAGCAGAGGGCAGCGAATGGTAAGGAAAAAGGAGAGAAGCGGCGTCCATTTTTGTTGGTCACTTTAGCTCACTTTTTCTGTTATGTTTGGAAACATGTTGGATGGAAGTTTTTTCTTGGTACCCATCCTTTGTTTTTAGTTTAAATCAAAGGGAAAATCTCATTAGAAGAATATGAAAATTAGTAAATCTTAAAGTAGGAATTCCCACAAAAATGTGTTTAAATGTTAAGATCAGGACAAAATGGTTTGTAAATCGGATTCCTTATGCATTTATATATTTGGAGAGCAAACGATAAGAAAATTAGAAATATGTGCAAAACTAAGAATTAATCCAGGAATGATTTTCTTCACGAAGAATGAGTTTATTGCTGAAAACTAGTAGTGGCATCCAAATGCAGCAGCAAGCTAACTGAACCACCACAAGAAGAAGAAAAATCATAACTGATTCATGGTTGTCGCAGATTTAAAAGTTTCTTTCAAGTTTCAATCATTAAATTCTTTCTTCTCTATTCTATTGCCACGTCAATTTGATTCTGGGTATAAAACTTTAGTGATGTCAAATTCTGTAACTGTTTGGACCAATTTAAAATGAGCGTTTTCATATTTTGTGAAACAAAACACCTTTCATCCGGTCAAAAAAAAAAACAAAACAAAACAAAACACCTTTCACATAATCAATAGTCGTTATGTATGGCGAAAGAAATTAGTTTTTCATAACTTGATAAATTCATATTTAAATCCCATTAAAAGAGGTGTCAACATTTAATACCTGACAGTATTTTGAACACGTTTGTCCTTAATCAAAAAATTACATGTACCTAATAAACAAGAACGTCTTCACATGTTTATTTTCTACAATATAAAATCAAATTTTCACGTTTAATTCAAAAGAGTGTTTTTTTTAGCTACACATAGACATTTTTCTATTAAAAATAATCATATTCAAAATAATATTAAGCACTAAATGTGAAAACTTATTGAAATTTAAATATTGATCAAGCTCTTCCGTTGAATCAACTCTCATCCGGCGCTAATCGATTTGACGGCTGACAGAGTACACCCGAAAGAACTCATGGAATTTTTTTATCTACATTAACCAGCCCATTGCTTCATTTTTCTCAAAGAAGAAAAATAAGTGGGCTGAGGATTCTAAATTGCAATTTGTGGTGAAGATCTGGTTCTGCTGGAAGTGGATCTCGCATTCTCTGCGTCCATATCCGGCGAAAAAGGATCACTGAATACGAACCTGAACCTTTCTGTGAAGCGACAATGGAAAATGGGTGGGCCATAGTACTTTTTTTTTTTGTCTACTTTTTTTGTCTACAATCAAAATCTTCTTTTAATTGTTAATAGCTTAACATAAATTAATAAATTTAATTAAAATTGTTTGATCTTTTTTTTAAAAAAATTATTCTCAATGAAATTCATTAATTAGACGGTGTTGTTTATTTAGGAATGCCAAACCAGATGATATTTAAAGGACAAAAAATTAATGCTTTAAACAACAAATCTTATATTAATAAAGCCTATATGGATAGAAACGCGTTCTTAGACAAGCCTTTGAGAATTGTGCCGTGAATTTACTCTTTCTTCGGGAAAAAAATACCACATGCGGTTTTTAATATAAAAGTTAGTTAGAGATTTAATTTAACCCTAAATGTATAAGATTTTGATACATTTTGTTTTTAATATTTATCTATTTTGACCCCAAATAATCCTATGGTGGTTGCACATGTTAATAAGATTTCATCAAGGGATAATTTTAATGCACATAATTGATTAGAGCATTTAAAAATAAATAAATTTATTTTATTAAAAATAATTAAATTAATTTTTTAATATCTATAAATTAGTTATTTAATTCTTATATTAAATACTAAAGGCAATATATAGTAGGCCTTGAGTTATATTGGAGCCCAGAACACCTGGGCTTTCGTAGTTATTGGGTTCCCTTCTTTCCTGCATACATCCACGAGGGCGTCTCACTGCAATTTATTCTTAAAAGGGAGCAAAAATAACTTTTAGTGCCCACAATTTTCACCAATTGTTAAACCAGTCCCTATTTCGGGTTTTCCTCTCTCTGCATTAGGGTTTTTTCCTCTAAACTATACACACATTAACAATCTTATCACACGTTCAATAAGTGGCTAATGATCTAAAACAAAAAAAAAAAAACAAAACGCTATCATACACAATTTTTTAACAATCTAAATTCATTACAAACTTGAGAGATGTTCTTCGAAAAACCAAGTTGTTTTAATAACAAATTTAATGTTTTTCTGACTCATTTTGTAACATGATTCACATTATAAAATAAATTTTACATTTAGAACTAGAAGAGTATTTAATATCATTTTAACAAGAGCTGTAACTCAAGTAAAAGAAAACGATTTTCCTTTCCTTATATTTTAATTTCTTTCCAATAATCAAATAACAAAAACAATTTTTCTTCCTTTTTTTTCTTTGTTCTCTCTCTCTCTTATCTTTTTCTACTTCATTTTCATCCGAGCATGATGTAACACTACACTAAAATCATACGTGACACGGATGTTGTAAAATTACAAAGGTCCCATGCGGTCACCCTAGATAGAGCCGGAAAAACGGGCCAAGCCCATCGGGTGCAATTTAATATATTATTTCCGATTTATAAAATTAAAAACGGTTGTAGTCTGTAATAAATGATGACCTTGCCTTCCCAACAGTCACATCAAGCTAGAGCCTAGAGCTAGAAATTGATGGGTCAGTCCTTTGTAATGGTATAAGTGGCCGTGGACAAGTCACAAGGGATGAAGAGGATAGTTGGATTGTGGCTCAACAGAAAATTTATGTTGGTTTTCTCCATTAGAGCTAGCTCATGGAAATCATGATAAAAAGCTAGTTATTAATTTATGTAGATTAAAAATATTAGTTAAATTAAATAATATAATATGTTTTTTTTAAAATACTATAAATATCTTTTTAAATTTCTTTTCTCCTTTCCTCTTTCTCCTATTTGATTATTGTTGGGAAATATTAATATAATTTTTTGAAAAAAATTGATAAACATGTATAAGTTTTATATACAGG